CACAGCCTCCATTTCCCCTTCTTACCCTCCCCATCCACCTTTGCTGCTTATTTTTACTCCATCTCCATCATGGCTCTGGCCCTGCTCTAGCCTAGGGCATGGAGCATGTGTTTGTTCTGACCAGGTAACAGTCAGTGCAGCAGTAGCAGCTCTCACCAGGGCTTGGAGTCTGGGCCACAGCTGCAGCTACTGGGTAGTGTTGGGGCCAAAGCATACATGTGGGAGGGGTAGAAACTGCAGGGGCAGATAGGCACTGGGGGCAAGGTGTGGGGAGGTATGGAATTATTGGAAGGTGTCTTAAGTTCAGAGTCATTTTGCATTTTGGTAAATTTGGTATGTTCAATACAAGCACACATGTAATTTAGCACTGGTTGTTTTTATCACAGAGGTAACATGTCACCACAGCTTTGTAAATACTTAAGTATCTACCATGAAGGCCGTGGATAAGTTAGAGGCTCATCAGTTTTCTAGCAGTATTTTTTTAAAGATATTTATTTCAAGAAGTTTCCCTGAAAACAGGCTACTGTGCCTTAAAACCAGGAATGAAAGACTGAATTAACCCACCAACAAAGTCAGGGATGTAGGGACTTTGATGAAAAAAGTTTTCTGGGAGCAATTTTGGGACAGCAGAAGGTGTTAGTCATCTCTGTCCTCTGTGAGTTCTTGCAATCCCTAACTGGAAAGTGATGGCCAGCAAGAATTGGCAGGAAACAGGGAAGATACATTGACTTAGCATATTCTCTCAGGAACCTGGCTTCGCTAGCTGCAGAGAGATTCTACTGAGCAACCACCTGAAGATGTGCTAAGGAGTTCATTTGAATCAGCGGTAGGACCTAGACAAATAGTTTAGATTATGGAATTTCCATGTGCTGTTGCAATTGCTTGGTAGTCAAAGGAACTCTGAAAACCAGGAAAAATAGTTTGTATTTTATGAGTGTTTTTCATACCAGCTTTTCAATTGGGAAGCATAAACTGATCTTTGAGCTTCTCAGTGCAGTATGTGAATCTTTATATCCTGTTCCCTCCAACGGTAAGGCTGGTTGGAGTGTAGTTTGGCTTCCAGCACAAATTGGAGTAGCCCCTGGGAAGCTATATTCCATGTGTGTGTCTGTATATTATAACAGAAATTCCACTTCACAACTGCATGCACAAATCTAATGGGATCTTAAGAAACAGTGTAATTCAGTGGAAATGACCACTCACTTCACTCAGTGGAAATGTGCACACACACGGCCAAAGAAATATTGGCAGATAGTTTGATTATTAAAATGAACACTGTACCCCTCAATAAACCCCTACAATTTGACACTCCTATAAATCCCTATTTCCAAAGGAATTCAAAGCCAGCACACCACAAAAACAAAACGGGGGCGGTGGGGGGTACATGGCAGGATGCACTGCATATTTAATAGAGTTAATAATCATAAATGTTGCATTTTTTTACACTAAATACTAGGGCTGTGTGAAATTTCACCAGCTGTTTCGATGTGACACTGTTTCAACTCATTTCAAGCTTGAAAAAACAAAATGGAATTGAAACAAAGCTCTTCGAAACAGCCTCCAGACAAAAAGAGGCTAGTCGAAACATTTCAAAAGTTTTGAAATGTTTCGAGTTCTGAAGCAGCCAGCAGCAATGTGGTGGGAGACAGGAGAACCAGGGCTGCGCTCTCAGCAGCAGCCGGGAGCACAGCCCTGGCTCTCCCCGTCTTCCACCGCTGGGCTATGAAAAGCTGATCACAGCACAGGGGAAGGTAACAGAGCCCAGGCTCAGTTCCCCTCCCAAGTGCTGTGATCGGGCTGGGGAAAGGAACTGAGTCTGATCACTCAGTTCACCTCCCCAGCCTTATGATCGGGCTGGGGATGGGAAGTCAGCCCAGCTGGGCTGAGTTTCCATCCGCAGCCTGACCTAGCACCAGCCCCACGATCCCCACGATCTAGTGCCAGCTGTGAGGAGAGGGGGAAGAGAGCAAGAAGCAGTGAGCAGCAGGCACTGGGGGAGTCACCGTGAGCAGGCTGGCCCGGCTAGGCCCTTGGGAAGGCTGCAGCTGGAGAAGAGTGGGGGTCAGGCGGGGAGTGGGGGCTGCCCCAAGGCTCTGCAGACTTGGGCCAAAGTGGCGAAGCCCAGCAGCACTGGAGGTGGGGCCCAGCCAGCCTGCACAGCTCTGCAGGGATGGGGCACAGCCACCCTGCCCATGAAGGGATGCTATTTGGCTGGGGCAGGACTCTGGGCTCAGGGGGCTGCCTGCTTGGCCTCTGTGCATGCTGGGTACAGTGCTAGTGAGAGCTGCAGCTGCAGGCTGTTCCCCCAGGCTCTGGGAACAGCCACTGCAGCCAGTGCTCAAGGTCAAGCCAGCCGGGAGCCTGCAGTGTAGCATCTCTGTGCAGTGCCAGGCCAGCTCTGGCCCCTTGAGGGGAGCTGCGGGTAGGCAGGGCCAGAGCCTGGGCAGGCTGGGGCAGCTGTGGTAGCCATTCCCAGGGTCCAGGGGCTCCTGTGGCCAGGCCCTTGCACCAGGTATGGCTTTGCCCTGCATGCACTATGACCAGTGTGCAGGGAGGCCAATCCCAGAGAGGGAAGCCCCCCAAACCCAGTGTGCTGCCCCAACTAGGCAGCATACCCTTGCATACAGGGCAGATGCAGCCTATTCCTGCAGAGCTGCGTGGGCCGGGCCAGGCCCCACCACAGGTGCTGCTGTGCCCCCTCGCCTGCCTGCCCACCACAGCTTGAGCCCACAGAGCCCTGGGGCATCCCACACTTCCCACGCAGCCCCCACCTTCTTAAGGCCCCAACTGGGCAGGCTTGCCTATGGCGCCTCCCCCCACACTGCCTAGGTCCTACCCTGACTACCCAGCCCCAGCACTTGGCACCCCAGTGCTGCCCCACCTGGGTGGGACAGGGTGTCTGCTTGCTTGGGCCCAGGGCTACGCCACCTTCTAGAAGCCTCCAGGGCAGCAACCCTGCACAGTGCCTGCCCCAGCCCTGTACCATGTGCAGCTCTCTCCAGGGACCGCAGGGCTGGAGGGCACAGCCTGGGAGCAAGGGGCAGGGGCAGTAGGACACAGATAGCCTCCCTGCCTGTGTTCTCCTGGCTCCACCACGGTGCCTGTAGTGCTGCTGGAACTTGTGGCTGCATGTGAGTGCCCAGAGCAGCAACTTAAAAAAACCCAAAAAAGAATTTCCTTGCATGCCTCCCAGTGTGCCAGGAAAAATGTCTCCACGCACACGTGCCGGAGGTTGCCGACCCCTGCTCTAGGATGTAGCTCTCTTCCAAATATTTCATTTCTTTGATTTTTCAGCTGAGGTATGAAGCTAACTTGCAAAAGAATATTGTTACCAGAAAACCATTTTCTCTTTTCTGTCAATATATGAAGATATTGCAGCAAAACTTATTGAGCCTTTTAAATGATTTGCTCCCTGACTATGAGCCAATATATTAAATTTCAGCAAAAAAAGGGAAATTAAGAATGACAAGAAATTGAAAATGTCGTTCTAGAATAAAATAGTTTGGGCAAGCTTAGTATAGATGGTGTTTCTTCCCTATAAATCATTGGTACTATATAGTAACAATATTATCTTCTGCATATTTTTGAGGTAGACCAGTTATTGTATATCCTGCCCTCAGGCAAAAATCTAACTGAAATCAATGGTACTCCACTCCGCCAAGCAAATTTGCTGGTACAGAATATTCCAAAGCTGGGCTAAAGATCCATTTTATGTGTGTCATTTGATACCTGTCAGGGCACTGAATGGCACAAGTGATCTTAGAGCATGGTTCTACGTGATTAGTCAGTATTAGGGTTGTCAACTGTGACTGAAGCTACTCCAAGAGATTTTTTTTCCCAACATGACATAATGGCATTAATTGTACTGTTCAACCTGTTCACAATATCCATCTCCTGAATTGCTTTCAATAGTCACTGGGAGATCAATACCGATCCTGATAGACTCCCAGCCAATTTGGGTGGGTTGGCAACCCTAGTCAGTATGTGGAGACAGCCTGGAAAGGGTGTCTCAGGGTTACACTATTCATTGTATGGAGCCTGCTGTAGTGGTAGGGATCCTGACATCATACATGTGTATGCCATATATTAGATACATCTTTGAAATGTTTGCGACTTAAAAAATCTTTAATGTAAAATGTTTGCAACTAATATAGTCACTAATTGGGATTTTTTGTATGTAAACAAGTTACCTTTTAAAATCAAAAGATTAAATGGGGTAGTTAAGTAAATAATAACACCTACTAGAACAATAACAATGATACCGGTCCCATGCCACAGCAGCAGAAGAGCTAATACTGGCCAATGATGTCAAGAAACCCTGAAATCCATGAATTTGACAGCCATCAGTGCCATAAGGCCAGTACCTGCAAGCAAATAACAAATGGTTTCAAAATATAATAAAGACATATTTTTAGCATGATTTTAGGAAAAAATATTACAACGTATGTTTGTCTTGTGGATAACACTTCCATAAAACACTTTCAGTATAAATAATGTTAATACAGTACCATTAAATAGCTGGTGTCTGATATGATACATTTTTTCTTTCTATTTTAGAAGAGAAAATAGCTCTTCAGCGAGTTCACACAAATCATGGAAATATAGTCTAAAAAAGCAAGACTGGTGTCTATAAATGCAGGAGAACCTCATGAAATAGTAAGATGTTAAATCTTTAGATAAACTATAATGGTAGTGGTTTAGGGTTACATTTTCATTTTTTAGTCTTAAAAAAACAAACCCCTCCTTTTTTGTGTTTGAAAAATGGCAGGTAGGTTCGAAATCATTTGGTGACTGTCATTTAAGTATACTCATACGAACCATAACACCAAAGAATCCCCTTGGGGTATCATAGATAGGTCTACATTCATATTCTAGTACTTCAGTACTAATGACTTGGTTTGCAAAGCTACACTGACTCCAGCTCTTACTCAAATAAGCAGGAATTGCAAGTGGTTAACAGATCTATACAAAATTAGAGACAGAAGGGCTAACTTAAGGTACCCTCATTTTAAAATGTGAGTCTAAGCTTGCAAATCAAGCATTCAGAAAAGCCACTAAGTAACAGTAATTGCAAACCCCAAATTATAGGCTGTTATTTGTGTTCACAATTTGTGGGTACCAAAAAGGGATGCCAGCTTTTGAAAATACTGGATTCTTTAAAATGAAGTCTTCTTAACCACTGAATTATATTGTGAGTGTCCAGGAGCTTCAGTCATGAATCAGGGACCTGTTGTGCTTGATGCTATAGAACCCCAGAAGAAAAAGCAGTCCCTGCTTCATAAACTTTACCATCCATTATCATCATGATTTCCATTACTTTTATACTAGTAGTAAATGAAGTAATATACATTAACACTAAACTGCAACTTTTGAAATAAATAAAAAAGTCCTCTTCTCGTTACATTCTCCTTGGTATTTTTTTTTTTTGGCTCAATGCATGTAAGCTTCATCATTAGTATCAAAGGGAAGTATGCATATATTTAAATGTAGATATATGGTGAAAGGCTGCCTGTAATTGAAATGGATTTAAATACAGGTTTATATGCTTTTATGAACTGGGCTTTATTGTGTCTGGTTTCTGACCTGCTAATTTGCAAAGTTCAGTTGTTTGTATCATGAGATGACCAAATTATAGTGTACTTATCAAAGAATTGAGCTCTCTTATTTGAGTTGTTGGTTATAATTCATGGTTTTAAAAATATATTCCCTGTGGCTACGGACAGACATTCAAAAAGCCCGAGCCTGAATTGATTCAATCTTTGCAGGTTAGTCTCACCTGTAGAGATTTGAAACAGTTTGCAAGTGGGTAGACATACCCTTTTCATTCCAGAAATACAGGCACATGCCTGTAGTAGCTCAGGCCAGAAGCCTGGGGGTGCTAGAGCAGCCCTTCCTTCTCTTCCACAGAGAAGCTGAGGGAGCAGGGGTGGGGGAGCATGGCCAGGCCCTGGCAAGCCTGAGTAAGAGTGAGGAAGAGTTTAAATCCCCACCTTGGCCTACAGGGTTTGGAAGGTGGGGGAAGAGGGAACATGATCAGATGGGGGCATGGCCAGACCCCTGTGGTGGGGGAGCAGGACCAGGGGAGAGCTCTGCCCACCACAGCAGCTCCCTGACAGCTAGGAGAAATCCAGGTGCACAGCACTGCCCAGTCCCAGAGTGGGATTCTTCCCCCTGCTCCTGACCCCCTCTGCCACAGGGTGGGGAGGAACACTCTGTTTGGTGCTGGAGGGGTACTCTTCCCCCTCCTTGACCCCCCTCCACTGTGGGGCTGGGAGGGGGCTCTGTGCAGTGCTGCCTGGCCCAGCCCAGCCCAGCCAGGACATAGGGAGTGGCTGTCACTGAACTGCAGCCCCTGGGGGTGGCTCTGCCAACCACGCTGTGCATCTGCCTCAGCTGGGGCTGAGCGGGGCCATCTTGGGCTATGTGGGTGAGGCCACCCCCAAGGGCTGTGGCTCAGTGCCAGCCGCTCCCCCTGCCCAGGCTTGGCCAAGCTGAGCAGCACTGCACAGAGCCCCCCTCCCTGCCTTGTGGTGGCGGGGGGCAGGGGAGAGGTGAGAGAAGTCCCTCTCTAGCACCGAACAGAGCCCCCCCCCGCCCTGTAGGTAGAAGGGAGGAGCAGGGGGAAGAGTCCCCCTGGGGGCTGGGCAGCACTGCAAAGAGCTGCCTTTCCCACCACACTTGGGGGGGGGGAGCTGCTCTCTCCCAGCCGCAGTCCCCTGGTGGGAGGGGGGAATTAACCCCTTCCCTGTCTCCTTAGCCTTAAAGAGGCCATGCCAGAATGGCTGCGGTCCCTGGTGGTGGGACAGGGAAGGGAGAAGGAAATAAGCCCCCTCCTGAGCACTCTGGCAGAGGCTGCTGCCATTACCCATCCCCTTGCTGTTCCAGTGGTGAGATGTGGCCAGACACCATCCTGGCATGGCCCTGTTAAGGTGAAGGGAGTAGGGAGGGGGTTAATTCCTTCTTCTGTCCCATCTGCCCTGGAGCCAGGGTCTGCTAGGCCAAATCGCCTCCACCACTGACCTGCAGACAGGCTGACCCTGGCTGTGGTGGGCATGGGGGGAGGGGAAGGAGAGAAGAATTAACATCCTCCCTGCTCCCTTTGCCTTAACATGGTCATGCTGGCTGGTGTCTCGCCATGTCCCCACCCCTTGGGCTAGAGAGAGGTGGGGCAGGACCAGCCCTGCTCTCTGGAGTAGAAAGCAGAGCACAGTCCAGCCTGGAGAACATGCTGGGATCCTAAACGACTCAGGGTTAATTTAAACCAGGAAGGGGTCTGGGACAGAAGTTGCATAAAATGGATTGACCCAAATCAGTTAGGTCTGATACTACATTCAACCAGGTTTATCTTAAACCAGTTTTGTCCATTTTGAAACTGGTTTATGTGCACTGAACTTATGTTCTGTTACACGTTTGAACCAGTTTCTGATCACTTAAACGAATTTATGTGTAACTTTTGTCCATAGCTTATGTGAAGTTATTTAACAAAAATCTTATGTGACTTTATTTTGGAACCTGGATCAATTGTTTGTTGTGTAATTCATCACTCATAAATACATAGTATTGGTTTTTTTTCTGACTGAATTACTGAAGCTTGCAATAATGAAGAAGGCTAAGGAAACAACAGCTTGTCTGAAACTCCATGTAAACAGATTTGCATAAGTTGCTTTAATTTTCTCTAAAATTCCTTGTGAACCTGAATGTCTACATATGAATGTTTATGGAAACATACGATAACAAATAACGTATATGGTAGAGCATAATTTATTAGGTTCAACATTTCATTTATTCAGTCTTCTTGAGTATCTGTTAAAAAAAAAGTCACATACCTAAGAAAGCTGGAAAAAGAAGCAATGAATGCATTGATGCAGATCCCACAATCGGCCAATGCAACACTGACTAATAGGAGGTTACCAGGAGTTTGGAGTTCTTTGATTTTTCGGAAAGACACAATTGTTAGGCCATTCAAACAGAACCCAAGCAAGGCTGAAAAAGACATAATTTTGGCTAGAATCAACTGGAATGGGAAATGTATACAATTATTCCCACATTCAACAATATACAGATTGTCACTCATAAAATATCCATATTATTATATTGACATAAGCAATGAAAGGATTTTCAAGGAGTCCTAGATATAGACATGATGGCATTACGGTTTAGTTTTCTCATGAATCAGAACCACTTTGGTTTTGTTCATGCTTTTATAGTCCACTCTTTCTTTTTTTGTAGGGAGAACTTTGCCAAGTTCCATTCAGGGATCCATGATCCAAGACAATGAAGATGTCAAAGGTATAGTTTCAAAAGAAACAGCGATTGGTAGTCAGTAGGCATGTCTACATGACATGCTACTGTGCAGTGGTTACTGTGCATTTATTTAGTACTGGTATAATCCAAATACTAAATAAATGCACAGTAACAGGAGTCACTGTGCAGTAGCACTGGCAAATGCCTTTTAAGTGATGCTACTGCGCAGTAGCTTAATAATATTGTGCAGCAGCTTATTAGCACTGTTAGCACTGTGACATGCTACTGTGCAGTATTAGTCAGCTGCTGTGCAGTCAGTGTCTTGTTGTAGACATGCTCTTAGACTATCATGTTTTCAGGCTTCTCTTTAGTAGAGAAACAGGTCAGGTTTAGTATTTGTTTTTTCCCTATAACTTGCCTTTTATCTACCTGCAGTGTCCTTCAGTTGCTTTTCAGTCAGTCTGTCTGTCTTTAGCTTTTCCATAAGGTTAACCTAGCCATTGCCTGAATTGCATCAACTTAGTCTTGTTACCTATTTTCTGAGCTGGTTAGTCTGCAACATTTCCCAAATTGCAAGCATTAGGAAGAACCCAGTCATTTGGGGGTGTGCAGTATTTAGGCAAAGTACTCGGGTAAGCATATAGTGAACACAGTCTCTGCACTCAGAGACAGGAGGTAAGGGTAAGTGAATAATGGCTAGCGAGGGAAGATGTTTCAAGAGAAAAGAGTGTAATAGAAGGTCTAAGCACTTTTTAATGTGCCTTTTCACATTAGCTTGAACTTATTTCTATGGTGATAACTCTATTTCCTATTGGCAGCATATGCCTGATGCATCAAAGCTATTTCAGATAATACATGCTAAGAAAAATGGAGTAATGCTTAAAAATCCTTATTCCCAATTACTTATTATACTAAACTTGCACTGATTGTTTTGTGTAGTTGCATATACTGAGCAGCTTTGCATAGTAAGCCATCCTTCTCCTATAAATGAATCATAGTTGAACCTGAGTAACAAACTGCCCTAAAATCTATGCTCTAGGACAAAATACGACCTACATTTCTCCAAAATCAGTATTTTTGAAGCTCTTTTTCACATGAATTGAGGGAACAGAAATTAGGAGAAGACTTTCCTTCTTGTCCCTCCCTCAGATTCCCACACACTAGCTTACATTCCACCTACAGAGTAGTGCTATTGAATGACAACCATATCTAAATAACAGAAATAATTGCAGAGCAGTTATAAAGCGACTGTGCTTGCAATGTGAATGCCAGGTAGCCCCAACTGTATACCCTAGGTGCACCTACATGTGAAATTAATTTAGTGTAATAGTCTGGCACAGTTCGCACCAGAGTCTACTGCTTCTGGGCGCAGCATTTCCATGTGTTAACAGGACTGTAGCACATTGAGCCAGGGGAGTCAGCTTGCCAGCCTGAGGCTGCTCTG